GTATCCAGTTACGTTTTTTTCTTTTGCTTGCAGCTAGAGGGTGTAAGCTTTGGTTTGACTGACTTACGCATGCTGCATGCGCCACTTTTGTAGTGTACACTGAAGAAAGCTTAGTCAGATTAGTTGGAGTCCAGACAGTGAAACTCTGAAGTGCACAGTGGTACAGATGCAGAGGCATATGTGCGTATCTGAGGACCAAAGTTAAGGCAAAGTTAAAATGGTATGAGATCACATTAAAAATCTTCTCCCCTTTAAAAAAAAAAAAAATTGTTATAAAGATTTATAATCATATAAAAAAAGGAAGATAAATCTTAGATTCTTCCATATTTCTAGCCAAACTGTGGCACTGAATTTGTTAACATCTTTGTGCAAAAAGTAACATTTTTTGAGTTGTTTCCTTCCCCTGAAGCAGAATAGAACAGGTTGATTTGGAGAACACATATTACATCATAACTGAGCAAAAGTGTCACTAGTCAGCCTGTTATTCTTAGCAACAAAGAGCTTTGACTGGGTCATTGTGAGTGTGAAGGTTCCCACAGGGCAGAGCTCTAAAATGCTGGAAAATGGATGCAGAGTGTCCAAAAGCAGCCATAGAAGATCAATACATCCATCTTTATTCACTGCAGGAAAAAAACAAAACAAAAACAGATAAATCAAAAGACATCAATAAAGACCAAGTGAGCAAAAGTCAGCAAAAGTTATATTAAAAAATGTACATAATGGAAAAAAGTCCTATTTATTGAGAGGACCACCTAGTGCTATGGAAGTAACAGACTACTGGGCACAAGAAAACCATCAGGAGGAAGAAAATAAATGAATCTAACCATAACTGGCTTAAAAAATCCAGGTCCTGGCAGTCCTAGTAGTTTATGCGAGTAATAAAGTAGCTTCTTTGTGGGCAAGTGACACTAAAAATACACCTACGTGCTTCGGCTTACACCTTCTTCTGGATGTGAAGTCTAGAGTTGTTTTCTACCCTGGACAAGTATGTCTATAATAAAGGACCTTCACGCTCAGCCAGTAGCCCCTTCCTGTTCAGAAACATGGCCTCTGTTTTGCATCTGAAGGATTCACAGTGCTGCAGGATAATAGGCCAAGCCCAACATTTTATGGTGTAAAGAAGACCAAGGGTTGGGTCTTAGTAAAGCAAAAGGAAGAAATACCAAAGACTAATATATATTCTAAAAATCATATTTTCAGAGATTCAAGTTTTCAGTCAAATTGTCAATATTGTCCTAAGTATGACAACCGGTGGTCAGACTCTGATGTTGCACTTTCAAGTCATCCATCCATCCCATTTTTCTTAAATGCTTATCCATCTAGCTGCCAATGTCAGCTAAGATGCAGGGTACACCCTGAACAGGCAGCCAGTCCATCACGGGGCAAAAAAGAGAGCACACATTCTCACATCCACGCCTGCGGCCACTCAGAATGACCACATAACACAACATGCATGCCTTTGGTCTGTGAGAAGAAACCCCAAACAGGCACATGGAAAACATACAAACTTTAGACAGAAAGAGCACAGCTGGTTCAGGCATGGAACCAGCTGTGCCTTATCTGCTGTCATCAGCAAAACCCTGATAACTCTAACTTCCATCTTTTCACTTAAGTCATTTCATTGAGTGAAAACACAAGTTTCTGATATCATTAACTCCACATCTGCTGTCTATTACTTCTAGAGCCAATGTTCTTGAAACTTCTGATGAAAGCTACCTAAAGAGATGTTTCTATGAAAAAGAGAATCATCCTTACTGCCCCATCTTTCGCCTCAGAGATCTTGTCAGCAGTGCTGGACATGACTTCCAGGAAATGGCTGTTAAGGTACAAAGTGAAACAACAACACTCAAAGAGAGCAAATTCCCCTGAAGGGCAAGACCTATGCTAAAACTTTAATGTTTCATGATCATGTCAGCATTGTTAACATGGAAATCTACTGGAGTATATTAGTGTAGCATATTGATCATTTTGTGTCGTTTTGAAGTCGTCAAGCGTTGTATTGAAAAAAGAGCTAAAAAAAAAAAAAGTTCTTATGTTAAGCTTTCCAGCATCATGGTGACGTCATAGGATGTTGTATTGAGAAAATAAAAAGTGCGTCGTACAGCTCTTTGCATGCCCTTTCATATGATATAATAGTCAATATGGTTTAATTTTTTTTGGTCAAGGTCAGCTTTAACCTTGGGTGCTAACATTAAAGGCCAATGTTAATGGCCAATTTCAGGTACTCATGTCCCCCAGGGTGTAGCATATTGTTGTGAAGTTTGAAGATTTTTTAAACTGATTTTTACATTTGGTGTGACCTTGACTTTAACCAGATTTTGACCAAAATTGAATCAGCTTGAGTTGTTATTGATATCTAACCTCAAACTAAATTTGAGAATGAATGAATGAATTTGAAATTGAAATTTGACAAACTCTGGATGCAAAACAGCAAACAAACACACAGACAGACAAACAATTAAGACTATGTGCGGGAGTGATTTTGGTTCCTCACTTCCTCACAGTTGTTTGCTAACAAACTATAATAGAAATCTGGTCTCAGTAGCTCGCCATCACTTGTTTAGATTTCTTGAGCAGATCTTCTAACATTATAAAATGTTAGAAGAGGACAAAGTACAGTGAAGATTCTGCAATACACAGTTTATCTCTCTGTGGACACACAAACTCAAATCAGTTGATTGAGTTATAGGGAGATGGTCTGCTTGCACAAAAAAGCTGATTTCTTTAATGATTTGTAAGAAAATCTGCAAATATCCCACAAACACTTGAATCTCTCTGCAATGCAAATACAGTAAAGCTGTGTATTAAAAGCCAGCCTCTGGTAGACTACTAACAGCAGGGTCATTTATGAACTGGTTAGATTCACATACATGTCGTTATGTGTCGTTGTCGTGAAGCTTTTTGACACATCTTGTGGTCTTCATCTGTATATGTATATGTATATGTATATGTATATGTTATATAATCAGCTGGAAGAAAATGGATGATGGACATGTGGAGTTTTCAGTAGTATTTAATCCTTTTCAGTTTCTGTTTAGAGTTATGAAAAACTGAGTTTCTGGAACTGCGTTTGGCTGGTCCCAAATTAAATCTGTGTTGCCCGTTACAAGCAACTTCAGTTTGAGGCTCTGAGGGAGAAAGATCGGGGCACCTCAACTGAATTACATCCCAAATGAACACAGTTGTTCAAAATAAGCATTTTCTTGCCAAAGCCTCATGTAACTTGATTTTATCTGCGTATGTCTTCTCTGGTTGTGGTATGTTATGTTTAAAAAGTTTTACTTTTTGTAAAGCACTCTGTACGGTATGGTTTGTGGTGTATCCGCTGATGTGCTATTAATATTTACCCTTTGTGTCCATCAGGGCGGCTCTGTTGGCATTCTCATTGAGTGGAACTGTGACCTGGATAAAGATTATTCTCTGTGTAATCCACAGTACAGCTTCACCCGTTTGGACATTAATTTGAACAACTCAATCACATCGGGATACAACTTCAGGTATGGTACCCACTACCTTCACTCTGCTCACTGTTTCCAACATGTTTTCAGCCTTTACATCTTATGTCAACTATTTTTTCTACAGATATGCCAGATACTATAAGGATCAAAATGGGGAAACCTATCGCACGCTGTATAAAGTGTATGGGATTCGCTTTGATATAATGATCAATGGTCAGGTACTGTGGAGATAGTAGCAGTTTAGTTTTTTTCTAAAGCACATCATTCTGGTGGGAGATTAACAGTGAGTTTCTGGTTATTGTTTTACAGGCCGGGAAATTCAATATTGTCCCCACAGTAATTGCCATTGGCTCAGGTGTTGCTCTCCTCGGTGCAGTGAGTAATTTATTAGAATATTCTGCTGACGCATGTGTGGATGATTGCTGTGCAATTACCACGGTGCTAAGTTCAAAACTGTCATATTACAGGACAGTGGATGATGTGGAATCCCCACCAAGAAAAGTAATATTCTCTCCTGTTCCAGTTCATTTGTTTATTTTTCTCTTTTAGGGAGCCTTTGCCTGTGATATGATATTATTGTACATGATGAACACGAGCTCCTTCTACAGAGAGAGGAAATTTGAAATCATCAACTTCAAGTAGGACTTCATATGTTACCAAAAACTTTGCCATTTTCTAAATCTTGCTCCTCACTTTCGCACACCTCTCTAATGCTGTGTGCAACAGAAAAGAGAGGACCAAAGTTAAAGATGAGAAAACGGGCCATCGGGAAAAGAGGTCCAGAAGACCAGGGACAGAGAAAGGGGCTACAAATTCCATCAAAAATCCAGGAGAAACTGAGCCCACTGCAGGATCTTCTGCGGAGAGCCAGCCACCTACAGAGAAAAGGGGTCCCACAATTCCACGTAACACGGGACAGCGATACTCTGCTCCACCCCAAGGCACCGAGACGAAGCATCATATCACTTTCATGGCTCACAATTAGGTCTGCAGGCAGAGCAAGATCACCTGTTTGTTTTCCTGCATGAGGCGGAACCCAAAGGTGGGACTGACGTCCACGTCTTACCTGCCGGCACAACTGCTAGCACGGTCACTAGCATGAGTGATGCCCTGACTGAAGATGTGTTGATCCAGGGGAATGTAAATGTTGTGCACAGTGCATGAGGTCAGGACGTCAAAGAAAGTAGCAGGGTCAGGATTCAAAACAGATTCATTACCACTCAACTGGCAAGTAGCAGTGACAGTAATTACAATATATAGTAATAAAAGTAGGCATGAAAGTTTTTAAAAACTACACTTAGAAGCAATTCATAAGAAAATGTGTGGTCTTAATTGTGTTTTTACAGCTCAACACATGTATTGTGTTGTTAAAATGCACAAACACTGTTGCTGCTTTCTGCTGTATGTTCAGTTAGCTGTACTGATCATGGCTTTGATATGAAGCTTTTACACAGTATTCACTGGCGACACTGAAGAATACAGCCTGACATGCTCTACGAGTCCAAGTGGACATATTCTCTGTGTAATGAATGGAAACTGAAATGCAGAGTCTCCCTTTATTGTTTGCTGTTCCTGTTTTTATTTATTGAATGTTCTTTGTCATTGGAAACACATTTTTGTCATCACAATTTTATTATTATTAGTGACACTCCCCAGTGAAGAAAAAGTGATCCAAAAAAACTTCTAGAGAGATCTTTAATCCAGTCAGTAATTACATCTGCTGTTTTCTGACTTGGTTTAACTTGTGAGGATTTGATCTGTAAACCTACATTATAACTATAGCTCTCTAAGTACAGGTTAGAGTTCATTCTCTGTTAAATATGGAGGAAAGAAAAGGACAGTTAATTCTCTTAACTCATCGTTTAACATATAAACAGTTCACAATGGAAGCCTTCCACTAACAGCCTATCTACAACAGCAGGCAGACAAACCTAAAGAATTACAGAGCATTAGACAAATATTTCTGAGTTATTTCGAGTAGATGTTCTAGTATACGTGCACCATCCCGTACAAGAAAGTCCAGAACAGGACATATGTGAAGAGGCCTCCGACGAGGCCTCCAGTAAAGAGCAGCCGCCGTGATTTGAAGAATTTGTTCCACCGCCGTCCGGCCTTGAGAATAAGCAGCAGTGAGAGGAGAAAGGATGATAGGAAATAAAAGATGAAGCCGTACAGTCCCGTCAGGCCAAGGATACCGGCTGTTGCTCCCGAGAGCGCAGACACAGAGGTGCGGCAGTAATCCAGCACTGCCGCGTTGCCTCTCACTGCCACTTCACTGATGAACTGTGGTCCCTCGCGCTTGGCCCCAACTCCAGCCATCTTGGCTCTGGTCGGCTACCACAGAAGGTGCTGCTGTAACATCAAAGATTAAGGCAACAATGTTAGAGCAACAGTACCTACTATGATTTTATGTACCTCGCACAATGAGGTTTTTAATTCATAAATAATCAAAATCGAAATAACATGATGAATAGTAGGACTAATGATTTCAAATCCTAAACATCCTGACTCGGGATGCTTTATAGAATTAACACCAAATAGAAACAAAACAAAAATAGCTCATTTAAAACAGAGACCGATCGGTTTCACTTTAAAAATCTATTGACAGACAATTTTCACCAGGAATAATTTAAGGGCCATCTTACTGCTGGTAATGAAGGTTATTATATTAAAAAAGAAAGATAAAAATAAAAACTACCGATCATCATGACACTGAATCAACATAAAACTACAAATCTGGACACATTAAAGCTCTTCACTCTGCGTGACAAAGAAAGCAAGTCGGGTTCGCTTAGCTATTGCCAAACTTCAAGGTGATTCAAAGCCTCGTTTTGACATAAAAAGGTAAAATTATACGACACAGACATCAGTTTTCAAACTACACAAAGCAGAGTCAGACTATTGGGGGCTAAACTGCACGTCAGCTGAACTATTTTAACATTTCTACCAGTGCTAATTCTAGCAGTGCTAGCTCTCCCAGCTGCCCACTGACGGTGACAGGCTCTCACCGGAGATTAATGTAGGGACTTCCTGTCGACTCCTCACGACGCGGTCACAAAAACATAACATGCAAGATTTACTTAGCAAACCTGAATCTAAAGCAGTTACAGGAAAAGTCAGCTGCTGTCACCAAAAGAAAAAGTGCATTCATTCTCGTTCGGATGACACTCCTATACGAAAGTCAGCCATGCTCCTGCGCAGTGCATTGTGGGAAGGCGGTAGTCAGCCTCAGGAGCCGATTTGGTGCATTCCTTGACAGTCAAACAGTAGGAAATTGATCTACCTTGAATAACGTTTAAGCAGGGAAGCTACCTTTGAATTTGTATCGAAGGAGACACTATGTTACATCAAAATGTAAATTCGTTATTTCACATTTTTGGCTAAAACAGCAGTTTTATAACAGCAAATTTCATCTAAGTAGCAAAGAAGCTCTAAACTCCTTTAATCACATGAATGCAGCAGTGAGGACTTTGGCATTTCGGTATGAAAAAAGCTCAAGGTACATATCGTAAACATCAGTCATGTCTAACTTTATCCTGGGTTTGGACGTGGGTACCTCTTCAGTAAAAGCCGTTTTATTAGACAGAGGATGTAGAGCTATAGCTGCCAGTCAGTCTTTACCGACTGTTTCTGATTTAGCCGACGATAGCGGGATAAAGGTGAGTGCGTTCACTTGTCCCGCAATTTTAACTACAGCTCAGTAATCTAAACACCTCTGTGTGATTGTGTGTAACGCAGGCGAAAGAGCAGGACACGGGTCGGATCATAGACACTCTGGACCGGTGCATTGGCCTCCTGCCCAGAGACAAACTGCAGCATGTGTGCTGCATCGGGCTGACCGGACAGATGCACGGAGTTTTATTCTGGAAACCAAAAAGCGGTAAAGTTATTCTGCGCGCGGGCTGTGGCATTTCATCGTCAGTGTGGTAACTTGTGTAACAACGGCTCTATGATTGGGGATTGTTTCTGATTTTCTTTTCACGGGAAATGAGAAAAATGTGATCAAAAACAAAATCAGGTGTCAAAGGAAAGATTAGACATGATTTTCAGGCTCACGTGCAGCCCTGTGCCAAATACAGATGACACTGCGCAAGAGCCAAAAGAGTCTTTGTTTGGCAAAGTGACGAAACAAGTACTTCGGCTCTTTACTCAAGTAAAAGTCATAATACCAATTAAGAAATGAGTCAAACGATTTTGCACTACATTCAGGAGCTATTTCAGAATTAGAGACATTACTTTGACAGTGCTTTGACTTTTATAATACCACATAACACAGGTTCTGTTTTTTTCATTGTCTACCTCTTTCCTGGGACCCAGATGTGGTAGGGTCGAAGAGTGAAGGTAGAACATGGATAGATTTTAAGATCTACAAATTAATAAGTAACTAAAACATTATCATGAATGTAATGAAGTGCAGTCCTCACTTACATCTCACCATTGATCCTATCTATGCCCTGATCCAATGGCATGAAGCAATGTGTGATTAACAGTGCTCCAGTCTAATGGTAAATTGTGAGTGGGGAGTAGTTGATCATGTTTTAGGACCTTTACCACCCGATGTCCCTTCTCTGAACACAACCATCAGGGATTCAGGAAACATACTGTGTGTATCAGTGTAATCTTAATTCTTGTATCTTGGATACATTCATTTAGGTGGAGGATGGAAACATTTGTGTAACGATGGATGAATTATACCAGGATCATCACAGATTAGGTACTGAAGTGATGCAAATCTTAGATAGATTGGAGAGAATTTTTCTTAGGGTGTTTACAGCCACACATTTGGACACTTATACAGCTTACACTAGGACACACTGGAAACATGTATACCTCCTGCAAAGCTTTCTTGACTTACTATGTAATCACCATTTAAAAGTCCTATAGTTTTCTGACTATCGCGCTGTTTATCAATAGAATATTTTCATTTATTTTCACTAAGTAATTATTTTCTCACTTGTCAATCTGATCTCTTCCCAAGATATTTTAATCTTTCCACACTGCCAAACACTCTGGAACCCCTTTTTTTTTAAGCATCTGTGTATTCAGTATCATGGTTCGTAAGGGTGATTGCTTACATTTCAGATGTGGTGCTTAAAAGTGCTTGAAAGTGTAACTGTATTTCATTCACCACAAATAACTATCTAATTGATTTATTTATTTATTTTTATCAGATAGAGAAATAAAATGAGTCGCAAAATGTAAAAGCAAAATTTCTCTGCCTGGGCTGCCTTGCACCTCTGTGGCTGTCTGTTTCAATATGTGACCCGCCTCTCCCCCTAACTGTCGGGATGAGCACGCTAACATACCTGCAGTTATAAAGTTCTAAAACAAAAACAAAAAACATACCTGCAGTTGCTGTTTTAATGAGTGTTTGATGGAAAACGACAATGGCGGAGTTTGCGCTCTCCAGTCGCATGATAGGTGAGTCCTAGTGAATAATTTTCCAGTACGTTACACATGCTAATTTTTAAAATTATGATTATTATTTTGCTAGCTATCAAACTCGCTGGAGAAATGATTGAAATGCAATGAGTGTGATGCAATACGGCAGCGCTATTATACAGTTAGTTATGGCATAAAGATTTATGGAATATGCTGTGAACTTAGCTAACATTACTTAGCATTAGCAGTAAAATATGTTCTTTTACTCATGTGAAAGCTTTAAACTAGGGCTGGCGATATGGGCTAAAAGTCATATCGTGGTATAATTTGAAGCATGTGTGGTAACGATATATATCGCAATATATTCTTTTCTTCTGTATAACGTATTTTCCACACTATAAGGCACACTTAAAATCCTTTAATTTTCTCAAAAATCGAGAGTGTGCCTTATATATGAATTCTGGATTGTCAGAGCATTACGCGGAGTAATCTGTGTCCAAAACCTCATCCCCTTCAGGTCCCAAAGTCAAACCAACACTAGGAGTTAAAAACGGTCTAAATTCTTTCATCTTTAATAAAATCATCAGCGTTGCTGCTTTATCAGGTGTAACAATTAAGTTTAACATCCATGCATCCATAAAAACTGAATTTATTAAATTTAACGGAGTTAGAAGTTAACAGGAAGTTAGCTCGCTAGTTTCCACCTAAACATGACATACCATATTCTGACTGAGAGATTTTTGAAACTAATTAAAACGTACAGCTCTGCTACCACTTTCAACATAAATGAAGACAGAAAACTAAACAGCAGTGGTGTTTGCAGGGTTACTGAAGTTGGACTACCTGGTATATAATGTTGTGCTATGTGATTGCTAGCGACACAGCTATGTTAGCATAACATTAGCACAGTGAAGCTGGAGGATGAACAATATGGGAATAGAACAGCTGCGAGAGAATTCAACATTAATGAATCAATGTTACGGAAGTGGAGGAAGCGCAGTTTTTGGCTTTCCCCATATTTCAAAAATGTTTCATCTCTTTGCTGTGACTGTCGGCATAATTTGCAGATGATAATGGTTGTAGCAGCTGCGATGCTTTCGACCAAAACAGGTGCAGCTTGATGACATCATCAACATGCGCTATCGTGATATTCAAAATCTCTATCGTTGGCCAAATTTATATCGTTTCTATCGTATATCGTTTATATCGCCCACCCCTACTTTAAACATTTAGCCAGTTACATAACTAGCCAACTTAAGGCTTTCTGATTAACCCTCTAGGGTTGACGGACTGAGTGTTAGTTTCAATTCTAAATAAAACAGTGGTGTTTACAGCGGGAAGAAACCGTAAAAACGGCGTTTTCTATGGACAGCGGTAGCAAACACTCTCTGCTTGGGAGTGAAAAAAAAGAAAGTGGAAAAATGTGCCATGTCGACCAATCAAAAATTATGTGGCATTTGGTTGTTTAGGAAGAGGGCGAAGTTTTAGGAGTGACACCAGCGAGAGTGAGCGAGTGAGTTTTGATACATGATAGATTTGTGACGTTTACTGTGTTTGGACTCAAGTTAGTGTGTTGTCTTGTGTAGTTAATGTGTAGTGTAGTCGTTGTTTTGTTTTGTGTGTCACTTCTACTAGTGAATGTCACAGTTGCTGCAAAAAAAGCCACCAAAGGCAGATGTAAACGCTGTCTCCACATGGAAAACAGGAGTGACACACCTTCTGTCATACCTGCAGGATTTATCCCTGTGCTGTTCTCCTCTGTCTTATAGTGGACACAAACTATTTTTGGAGTTGCATATATAATTTGTGTGTCTTCTTATTTGATGCAGAACACCTCATTGTTCTCTAAATAGTTTTAAATGGTTATATAAAAAACGTCTGAGCCTTGGCTGCATTTTTAGATAAATAGTACCATATAACTTTATTGTTTGCAAAACTTGTGCATATTTTCAAAAAATGTACAATTTCTATTTGCATTTCAAGTTATGAAAATGATTCGTAAAACATGTTTGTGTTTTTTACAGTCAAAAATACAACTTTTTTCTACTCATATTTTAAATTTTGTCTGAATTTAGATCAGTTGTGCTTATACAGTATGTCAAAATGTGAAAATAACAGAATTGGCAAGATAAACAGTTTTTAAAGGTGAAATATAGAGGACAAATCAAAAGTAGTCAAAAAACAACCAGTTATACCCTGAACCCCAGAGGGTTAAAGGCTAAAAGCAAAGTTGTCACCAAGTACTTTTTATATTTGTGTGTATTGTTGCAGCTTTTTTAAGTATTAACTTGGTGCCTTTGGGTGAAATAATGGTAATATGAGGGACCGATCCATATGGTCACAAAGAATAGCGACAGATACGTGTAGAGTATCTGTATAGAGTGGTATCTAAAATAAGCATGCAGTTTAGTTTGACTAATGTTTAAGTGGATCCAGAGGCTTTAGAACAATTGACTGATAATAGGACAGGGCAAAGGACAGAGTCTTTCAAGAACACAGCAGTCAACATAACAACTCAAACAAGGGTTGTATTAAAGTTGTAAGCACTCAGTTGACTGTCTTTTGCACCTCCCAGGTTGCGTCTGGTCCAATAGTGATTCCTTAACAGCCAAAGACACCAGTCAGCTGATCACCTGGCAAGATGGACGTTGCAGCAATGACTTCCTCACCTCTCTTCCCAGACCAGACTCTCATCTCAGCGTCGCCACGGGGTTTGGCTGTGCAACAATCTTCTGGTACATGAAACACAAGTAAGCTCACATCTTTAAAAATAAATACATTATAAATAAATACATTTTGCAATTGTGATACAAAAGCTGAAGCTGTGTGGTTTTGCCGCAGACCCAAATTCCTTGAGGACTTTACGGTTGCAGGTACTATCCAGGACTATGTGGTGTCCATGCTGTGCGGTTTGGACAGGTGTGTGATGACACCTCAGAATGCAGCCAGCTGGGGCTTCTTCAACACGTCATCCAATCAGTGGAACGAAAACATGTTTGTATAGTGTTGAACGTCCTTCCTTTTTACAACACTTTACTAGATGCACCTACTGCATGAAAACTGTTGTGCATGTTTGGTTTGCAGCCTCATTTACCTAACACTTTTTGCATCAGTGCAAGCATACATAACAAGCACTGTATGTGTGTGTGTGTCCTCTAGTCTGAAGGGTGCTGGCTTCCCTTTGCACCTGCTTCCTAAGTGCGTGCCATCTGGTAGCTTGGCAGGAAAGACCTGCTCTCAGTGGCACGGCATCCCTGCTGGCACGCCAGTAGGGGCCGCGCTAGGAGACTTCCAGTGCTCCGTCTACTCCTGCATGAGCGAACGGACAGATGCAGGTGAAACAGGATATCCATTTATCTCTCTTAATGAACTAAATGCACAATGTTCTCACAGTTGATTGTGGATCTGCATTTATAAGTTAATTCAGATTCGGATAACTTTAATAATCCCAAAAGGGGAATTTGTTTACAGCTTAGCTGAATCACAAACCACACTATTGCCTATTGTAGCCAACATTTACATGGAGGAAGTCGAATGTAAGGCTCTTGGCTCTTTTAAAGGGAGAGTACCCAGCCACTGGTACAGATATGTAGACGACACCTGGGTCAAAATCAAAACACAAGAAGTGGAATCCTT